CGATAAGGTCGCGGTGATGATGTTGGCGCAGATACCGCGGCCCCGCGTATCTTTATTACCCTTCGCGAAACACGTTGCTCAAGTTAATGTTAATTGCCATTTTATCTTACTCAGACGACTGATATTTTTGAGCGCGTGATTCTCGCAAACTTTTACGGCACGTAAATGAGAGGCGACACAAAACTCGCGAAAATGTACGTTTCAATTAAAACGCACATCGAGATTTCGATCTCTAAGAGATCTCTTTTAATTTAACATTGCGAAACAGAAATGATTCGCAAAATTTATATTATATTTGTAAGAAATTTATGACTCTTGGCGATTTTATGTTTTTTTAATATGTGACATTATTGGAAGTTGTTTAGCGTTGTTATAACATTATGTCGCATAATGTAAATATAAACTTATATTTGTTGTAATTTGTCAAATTACAGAGGCACGGAGTTTGACGTCAATATATAGAGTCGCAAACTCCGCGTGAAGGGAGAGACGACATACCGGATCCGCGCCTAATATCTGTCCGCCTCAGTCGAGAGTAGGCGTATGTACATCGTCTTACGGTGTCGTTTCGCTTCACGCGGGGAGAAGAAATCGCGTCGCGCCCGCCCATGGGAGAACGAACGCACCGTAAGTAAGAACAACATATTCACGAGGCTGTATCGGATTTTATTCCGCGGGTAAATCCCCTGGAATCTCAGCAGGCCCTGTGTGTCTCCGTCTTTTGCCGTCTCTCGTCCCCCCTTTGCGATTCCCGTCCCGCTATGAGATAGTCCTCTCAACCCCTCTGTTTCGCGTCGCTCGCTCGCGCGCGCTTTCACTTCGCGCGGAAAGAAGAGTTTCGAGAGTTACGGCGACTGCTCGTAAGCCGACGAAGACGATGACAGTCCCGGCACGTCTTTTTACTGGCGAAGGTCATTTCGTTGGGAAAACGTGGGCGACAGGGTTTTTGCGGCCCTAGCCTACTTCGTTTCATCTTTTTCCCGCACCCGTCTTTCCCCCCCCCCCCTCCGTTTATTCTCTCTCCGCCGCCAGCCTCTCGTTTTCCTGCCACGTTTCGTCGAAGCTCGTCCGTATTCAAATGTTCGGTCGGGGATGCACGGAGAGGCGGACGAGAAAACCGAATTACCTGTCCTGAATTGGAGACCGGCAAAAAGAGGCGGGGAAGGACTCGTTACGAAGCGAAGTGAGATGAAAGTAGGTCCTCTCGGAGAAGAGAGAAAGCTACTCTTTTTATTCTTTTTTTTTTTTTTTTTTTGCGTAAGATAGCATCACGCAGTTAAAACATTTTATACGCGAAATGGCGTTGCGTCTGATAATAGCAACGTAGTATAAAAGATAAAAACAAAACGATGATACATCGTTTTAACACAGAGCAAAATAAAGACTGAGATCAATTACGCGCGCGTATTTGAGAGTAGAGAAAGTTTTTTTTTTTTTTTCAGAACTTCTTTACAAGAGAGAGATTTTCTTCCGTGTATCAATTGACATTAAAAAAAAAAAAACATAGAATTTTTTCGAACCAGATGATATCGAACGTATCATCGAGGATGTAAAAAAGAGTTTGTCACACGCTCGGAGACTTTTGAGGAAAGAGTGTCGCGCACCGACACACAAATGAGATAAGATTACGGAAGAAGATAAGAGTTACGCGGTGAGATAAAACTCTTTGTACATTGGACTTACAATTGGGAAGAAATTTTAAGCAACGCAAATGAAATCTCGTCGCGATCTTAAGAACAAAAAAAAACCAAAAAAAAATATCAACGTGACATTGCGTTCGCGACCGTAAATACATAACCGAACCCGTATTGCGCGGTATCGGTGAAAAAAAAAAACGATAATTCCGCAATCGATGTGTTTGTTATTATAGTTAACATGTCAGTTTTTTTTTAAACGCTGGTCGCGCAATAAAGAAACCCGGCGGTTTCCTTATTAAAGTACGGCTGTCGTATACACACGTAATGGGGAACATACGGGACGCTCTGCCCGCGGCGTCTTATAACTGCCGCGCCATTAACGGGGCGCCACGATCACTGTAATATACGTTTAGTTTAGTTTAGCGCACACGAGGGTGGCTCCGGCGACGAGCCCCGCCGCCGTGCGACCGACCCCTCCGCGTGCCACAGCCGAGGGTGCATAATTTATCGCCGCGTCCCGACCACGATAATGCAATACGTTACGCGCTCGGCATGCATGCGGACTACTCTCCGCGTAGGTTATCGATGCTCCCTCAATGTCCGAGGGGCATAGGCTAACTACCTATAAATAGCGCGATCATGTATCGGCATTCATTGCTCGACATCTTCCCATTTAGAAACACACACGCACCTTCTATCTCGTTTACGTAAACTATATATTTGCACACGCAAACGGCAATTGCAGAAGAAACATATATCGTCTGGTTTTTGTGTTTCGTGTGCATTTTTTTTTTTTTATAAACATCATTGTCCTGAAATAAAGTTTTAAACAAAAATACATTTACCTTGTTGAACACTTGACCGAATGAATCGGTGAATTTATTTGCGGGTGGAAAATTATACACAGTCACACAAGACGTGGTTTTTTTTTTTTTTTTAGAATAGAATTGATTTTTATTGTGACTAGATTACAAACGGGGCCTTTTACGGCGCTCAAATATCGCCCGGTAGGAACGTCGTTTTACACGTAGTGAGTGAGGTGACAAACAGGAATGAAGAATATTTCTGCGTGAAACGCGCAAACGCGAATCACGTTTTTTTCGCACACAGCGCAGGGATTATGGGATATGTGAGTGTACGACGAACATTTTGTACGACATTGGGATTCATATAAAATAGCGCGGTTCGTTTCTTACGCCTATAATCTTCTTACGTCTCGTCTTCTTTGCGAATCGCGGCGAATCGGCCGCTCTCTCGTCTCTGTTTTTATCTCGAAATCGGTTTATCGGCGTCGTATCATATCGTCGTTTCATTTCCCTATTCGAAATCTTTTTTCCGACGCACCACCACACTCCCCCCGTTATATATATATATATATAATAATGTACACAATTATCCCCGTGGCCTCGACGCGCGGCATAATTATTATATTATACATTAATTAGTTTTTTTTTTTTTTTGGATTCAACTTTGGTTTTTGGTTCTCTTACAACATTGCGGCACCTATCGAAATAAGAGGAAGCTACTTATAAAAATAGGACATTTCGTTTGAATTACGCTTAACGCTCGGTTGCACAATTGAGGAATACACAGGTATAGATTATAAGTTAAATCGCTTGGAACAATTAAAATATACGAAGAGGATGAAGAAGAACGATGGACTTGACAAAATCTCTCCAAATTGCACGTGCCGCGCGAGGATGAACTGTTGAATATTGTTTTTAATAATTACTCGACGATACTCTCTAATTTATATTTATAACGTACGCCTAAAAGATAGGATGCTTGGTACACTGTACAACGCACAAATCGCTCGCTTATAGACCTACAAGATTTTTTTTTTTTTTAGTATTTCTGTTCTGTGTTGTGTGATGAATAATCGTTATTTATCGTTATTACAATGTAACAATTGTTTTGGTATACAGATTACGCCACACGCCGCAGTTAAGTGCCGGCGTCCTACTATACACGTATCTACAGAGAATAGTGAGTACTCGATCCTAAAGGATCATCTTTTTTTTTAGTAGTGTCGTCGTCCTTTGCTAAAAAATTAACCCGCCAATTTTTCGCGTCGCGTCGTCGAAAACCAAATCTTTAAAGCATACATCGTATACACAGTTGATTTATTTGCGTCGTGTGCGCGTGTGATTTCTCTTTTCGTTTCTCCTAGCGAAATAATATATATATATATATATCACACGTTTTTCAACGCAAAATATTTACAGCGTCAAAAATAATAAATATGTATTATCAGATTAAAAAGTGTTGGAAGAAGAAAATCGGGGAGTTACTTTTTATCGCAAAGGAGAGAGCGAAAGTTTTTAACATTTGTACTCCATCAACTTTTACTTGCCCCCGAAGATTACATATACGCAAGTCTCTTTGAATTTGTCCGGCGTCCGTAGTCCGGATTGCTCGCGTGGTACACCGTATTTATTATTTTATTTACAATAAGTAAGCAAGTGTTCTCGCGACCGTGAGTTTCTATCAGTATTTTTTAATCGACTGACACACACCGCTTTATCGCGCCGTTGCTCTTTCTCTCAACTTTCGCAAAGATCTCGATAAATAAAAAATATGTTATCTGTGATATTTGACAAAATTTAAAAGTTTATATAAAAGAGCACATAACATTTTTAACATTTCTCCGCTCTAATTGCGCATTTTTGTAATTTTTATAAAGTGCAGATAAATTTTTACAGTAAAAAATATGAGGAAAAAATATATGAAAACAAGTCATTTGAGCGATCAAACATTTAACGAATCGAGATTTCGCAGTGAATCGAACAAGGTAAGAGCAACGCTCTTTTCGTTATAATATCTCAAAAAAGTCTACTGGCCTCAATCGTCATCCCGCGGCAAGGATAGCGTCTGCGAACCGGACGCGATTGGCGGTGTCGTCCAACAGTCAAACAATGACGGCCAGTAACCTGTGGCGGAAGTCGCGTGCTGCCAATAGCCAGTAAGTCCGGTGTTCCCGGTGGCCGTTCCTGGTCCACCTACGCCAATACCGACCCCTACGCCAATACCGCCCGGAGCCACCACTTGTTCGGGATTCATGCTGCTGGCTTCGATGACACTTCGCTCGTCTACTTCCATCTTCTGGTCCGCCGCGGTACCGTCCTCGTCGTACATGAGGTAATGCGGATGCGACGTCGTCGACGAAGGTGTCGACGATAGCGTCGGCGAGGCGGCGGACCTAGGCCTGGGTCACTCCTGCGATCTCAGTTGATTGTCACTCGGCTGGCCGGATACCGCGGAAGCGGACGGCGGCACTACTTGATTGCTGCTACCACCACTTAGGGAACTCCCAGAATTCGGATTCGTTACGCTGTGATGATGGGGGCTAGAAGTAGCCCCCGCTTCACCTCAGACCTGGGCCCGAGCGGTGGCGTTGGCGTGAGCTTCAGGACCTGGAGAATGAGGATTCGTTCCCGCTGCTGTTGTTAGCGCGTATTGACAAGCGCTCAGACTACCACCGCCACCGCCGCCGCCACCACCACCGCCCCCACCGCCAACGGACGATGCTCTCGAGCTGACGGGACTTATGCTGCCGGCTGTGGTGCCACCGGTGTTACCGGCTGCGCCGAAAGAACCACCGCCGCCACCGTAACCGCTACTGTGTTGCTTCGCCTTCATTCGTAGCGACGCGATGCTACTCGACGTCATCACCGTGCAGGACTCCGGTGATCGATGATGCGGCGTATAGACCGGAGGTCCGTAGGGATGATGCGGTCCCGTTGGTGTTGCATAAGGACACGCCGCACCGGACGCCGCGACCGGTGAACTTGCAACACCAAGTCCGGAACCCATGCCCGGTAACATGGACGTAGCCGCTTGGCCAACCGATACCGACATGCCGCCAACGTGGCTCCCAGCGACCGACGTTGCCGCGGCGTTGAAGGGATTTACTGGACTGACCTGCGCGTGATGATGATGGTGCGACGCCGTGGGCACAACCGAGCCCAGAGTGTTCATCCAGGGAAAACTTTTGCTGCTCAAGGGCGACGGCACTTTCGCAGCCCAATTGTTATACGTACTGTACGAAGTGTAGAGGGTATCCGGGTCCGGGAATGGTTGAGCGATGAAGCCGTTTAAGCTAGCCGTACTGAAACCCGATTTGAAGTCCGCTGCGGCCTGCGCAGCTGCATTCATCGCATTGCGCTCTTTCTTTCTCCATTTCGCCCGTCTATTCTTGAACCAGACCTGAAAATAAAAATCATGACATTGCGCGCGCGCATGTGTGTGTGTGTGTGTGTTTTAAATTTAATATAGATTATTATTAATCTACACCGAAAAAATTGTATTCTTGTTTTGAGGATATCCCACTTACTTTAAGTATATTTTATACTAAAATAGGCGCCAAGAAGAGTTTCTTATTTTAAGA